ACAAGTGGAGATTTATAAAGTTCACTTGAAATCAGATGCCATTGATGACTTTAAAATGGAGTTGCCATGTATCAACGCGGAGAAGCCTGTTTTGACCTACCTTCCGAATCCAAAAATCCCAGACTGGAAACTGAAGAATAGTCACATCAAGAGGCTAGTTTTCAGCAAGGAAGCAGCAACGGAAGAGAAATTACCCGTACACGTAATCCTAGGAGCTGCTGACATTCAAAGGATAAAATCGACTGAGCCTGCAGTTCTCAGATGAAACCCAGACACCGACACTGGGGCCGAGTTCACTATGTTAGGGTGGGTGACCGCTGGAAAATCTATCTTGCCAAACACTGGAGGAGAGAAAGGTTTCTTCTTAAATTCTAGTCAAGACGAATTTGAGCAAATGTGTTCTCAAAAAGTACTTGGATTAAAAGATGTGGTAAACGCACAGGAACCATTCCATGCAGATTTTGTGGACCAATTGCAGCGATTAGAAGATGGAACCTATTCAACAAGGTTCCCATGGAAACCAGACCATGCTCCTTTACCCACAAACAAGGAAATTTCTATGGGAAGGCTGAGAAGCACAACAAGAAAACTGGAGAGAATACAGAGGCTCAATGAGTACCACGAAGTAATGGAACAACAGTTAGAACAGGGGATCTTGGAACTAGTACCAGAAGTTCTTACAGGGGAAGTCATTTGTTAGGGAACTTTAGCATCACTTTTACGGCAAGCGCTTTGCCATCACGTTTGCACTTTGCGGTTCCAGTTTCACGGGAAAAGGTCCAAATTTGTGTATTCCCTCTTGGTATGTAATGAAAGTCAAATGCCTCTAGTTTAATATACTAAAGCTGTAAACAGCACTGCTTCTCTTGTTATGGCCATAAGCAGTATTAAATATTCACAGATTTTTCTATTAGAAACAATATCAACTATTGAACAGTAATATTGCTTCAATCTATTGATTTATGACAACTCTCCTTGGGTGAACATTTGGCATCTATGAATTGGTACCAATAATAGACAAACAAATTCCCTTCTCCCTGCGGTTAAAGACAAATACATTACCTACCCAGGGTTTGTAAAAGGCCTTGAAAGTACTTGAATTTGAGGACTAAGGCTTGACTTCTGTAATGCTTTTTCTTTGCAATTTTCAAGTTGAAAATTACAGTACTTTCATGGAAAAGCTGAGAAATAATATTAAATAATTTTAAAATTGCTTATGCAAACCTTTACAAAAGTGGTCCCTTCAATTTTCTAAATCTTGGCTTTCAAAGTCATTGAAAAGTTCTTGAATTTCAACCTTTTGCATCTACAGAAACTTACTCATTTTATATGGTAATATATTATTTGGATTGTTGTCTAGTACCATAACAACATTCATTACACTCCAGCTGCAGACAAAAATAAACACACAAGTAGACTTATTCGTGACCGGCAATGACGAAATCACATAACGACAGTAACAATGGCAATATGGCAGTCCCCTAAAGATAAGCCCAGATATGTGATATTGAAAGCCAGAGTTCACGCAGATATGCGTCTAGTTTTTTTTTTAATCTTTTAATCTATAGCTTACTTTTGTACTTTTTTAATATCTGCAATTTGTTTACTTACTTTTAACAATTTAATGTTATTTTGGATCAGGACCTCTCTATGGATCACCTATGGGTGACAGAGCTTCCTGTTTAAATATCATTATTATTTAAACGCATTTGTGCACAATCCCCACAGTAAAGTGCACTATTTGAGCAATAGTGAAAATGAGACCTGAAAAAATTCAGGCCTGTACAGGATTCGAACCACTGACCTCTGCAATACTAGTGCAGTGCTCTACCAATTGAGCTAACAAGCCAACTGGGAGCAGGCCATCAAATTAATTCGACATAAACCCGCAAGATGATAAATCAAACACAACGAATTATGAAATTCATATCTCTGAATTGCGGTTATAGAAACGTACTTGTGCTCAATCCTTGCAGTAAAGTGCACTATTTAAGCAATAGTGAAAAATAGGTCAGTGGTATGAATCCCATACAGACCTGAATTTTTTCAGGTCTGATTTTCACTATTGCTTTTAAAATAGTGCACTTTACTGCAAGGATCGTGCACAAATACATTTCTATAACCGCAGTTCAGATATATGAATTTCATATATTTGTCGTGTTTGATTATTATTTCTTATCCTTTTTGTTGCTTCTCTTTCAGGTGCCACATTAGCAAAGAGCTTTCATTCCTGAGGGGAATTGACAAAAACTGCTCTATTTAGCTCATGATTTGAAAAATGTAAATATAATTAGAAATTAACATAATTAACTATGTGACTGCAAAAAAGGTTTCTGTCAGCACAAATACCAACTCAAAACCAGTAGTCATCATGGGCGCATCCACCAGATTTCCTGAAGCTGTGCCATTAAGAAACATCAAAGGAAAGGCTATCTTCAGGGTTATAACTGAGTTCTTTACACTGATGTGTCTTCCCAGTTTCATCCAGTCCTGCCAAGGTTCCAATTTTATGTCTGGCATATTTCAGCAAGTAATGAACGAGCTTGGAATCAAGCAGTATAAGTCATCTGCATATCACCTTCAAGTTAAGCTCTCAAAAGATTGCATCAAACACTAGAGAACATGTTGAGTATCTACTGCTTCGAAAAAGAGACTGGAACCAGGTTCTTCACCAACTGCAGTTTACCACACACCAGTCAGTCAAGGAGTCTCTGGGATTTAGTCCATTTGAGCTTGTGTTTGCACACACTATGAAGGAACCTCTTGAGCTACGTGTACTTTAAGAGAAAATATTACCTAGCCATACTGGGTCTAGTAATCTTTTGCAGTACATCTCAGATGGTCGCACTAAATCTTTAGAGCTTGTGAATTAGCAAGAACTAATCTCACTTCAACTTAGAATTTTGTGTAAGAGAAGTATGATGTAGATGCTGAAGAATGTTACTTTAAGTTAGGTCAAAGAAAAAGATAGATGACCATGATTATATAATAGTCACTCCAGAGAGGCATTAGCAGACACACTGTCATGTAAATATGTCAAAGCTTTATACAGAGAGAAGCAGTTTAATCAAGTTTAAGAGCCTGCAAATATCAATGTGGTTGTTTCGGAGCCCAAAGAGGTAAGTAGCAAGTTTAACAGTAATCATCTTGGTCCCACTGACACAACAAAACTCAAACTATATGCTGTGGAACTTGGACTCTAAGATGTCACACCTGGAAGGGAGTCAATGCAAGGACTTGAAGAAGCTACTGCAAAATTAAAAAGACGTGTTTCTTGATGTTCCCTCCACGACAGATCAGATAAACCATGACGTTGACGTTGGTACAACTGCTCATGTAAAACTATAACCTTACAGGCTAAATTTAGGAAAGCAAAATACCTCAAGAGATAAGCACTTTTCACTTTGCAGTACTTTTTATTTACTTGATTTATTGTAAGTGAGGTGGCTCTTGTTAGATTTTTCCTAATTTTGGTTTCCTTGTTCTACGTAGAAGCTAGTGTCACGAGACCTGTTTTCCATATTTGGTATTGTACACGAGGTTTTCTGCTTTTGGATTAAAAACAGTTCTTCCGCCATCTTGATCTGGTTACTGTGTTCCTGACCTTTTATTCGGAATACACAACCACTGGCGACCAGGATGGGATACCTTTGATCAAGCACAAGCGGTTAACAGGAGTGGGTCGTACAAATCACGCCCAAAAAGGGAAAGAGACGACGGAAAAAAAAATTATGCCGGACGAAGCACCGAGCGCTAACACGAGTCAAGCCCTCTGCAAAGTGACAAAGTTTGTGGTGGGAGCGGATTGGGAGTCCTACACCGAACAACTGGATTTTTACTTTCTTGCAAATGGAATCAAGAAACCTAAAACAATGAAGGCCGTACTTTTGACGAACCTTCCGGTGGAAACTTACCAATTGGCGAAGGATTTAGTGGCCCCCGCACAACTGAAAGATGACGCCATTACCTATGAGATCATCGTGGAGCGAATGCAGGAACAACTGAAACTTGAAAGATCAGTGCTGGTTGCGTGGTATGAGTTCAACAACCAAGCCAGGAATTCCGGTGAGTCAGTTAGTCATTATGTAGCCACTCTGAAGCACTTGGCCACAGAATGCAAGTTTGGAGAGGCCATGTGAACCGAGTGCCTTCGTGACCGATTAGTTTCAGGTATCCGCGACTCGAAGATGATTACGGAGTTGTTGAAAGTAAAACTCGCCGACCTTTCTTTTGATCTTGCGGTTCAAAAGTCTTTGGCCATTGAGCAGGCTAATAAAGATGTTCAGGTGCTTCAGGGAGAACAAGGGCCAGGCACCCCAATCAATAAACTTGACACTGTCAAAACTGGGGAAGAACAAGCCATATCCAAGCCACCACCTAAGGCCGAGGGTCCCTGGGGTAAGGACAGTAAGAAGTCTAGACCTTGTTACCACTGTTCAGGGTCACATAACTCACAAAAGTGTCCCTTCATGAAAGAACGCTGTTTTCATTGTGGCATAATTGGACATACACAGAGAGCATGTAGGAAGAGACAGGCCACCTCACAGATGACTGAGGCTGGAATAAATGCCATGGAGGGCGATGATTCCGAAGAAAGTGATGGAGAATTGGGGAACCTGTACCATGTCTCAGACATTGACTATGGAGTGACTATGGAGCTGGATACAGGTTCAGTGGTGTCAGTCATGAGTGAGAGGGTGTATTTGGATTACCTCTGCCACATTCCTTTAAAGGACACCTCCTTGAAGTTGCGCACATACACAGGAGAGTCAATGAAGCCTATGGGGTTTTGCCATGTGACTGTGCAGTATCAGGGACAGTCAAAGGAACTTCCCATATATGTAGTGAAGAATGAGGGACCCACCCTTTTTGGCAGAGAATAGCTGGAATCTATCCATCTGGACTGGCCCTTACTTCGTCTGGAAACATTCGACACCATTCCAGCCCTGGAAGATGTCCTGAGTAAGCATGGAGATGTTTTCTCTGAAAGTTTGGGCAAGATGAAGAATATCCAAGCACAGATCCAAGTTAAAGAGGATGCCCAGCCTCGATTCTGGAAAGCCCGCCCACTAGCGCTGGCTTGTAAACCAGCAGTGGACGAAGCATTGAGAGAGCTGGAAGCTGAAGGAGTTCTAAAGAAGGTAGCTACTAGTGAGTGGGCTGCTCCAGTTGTGACACCTGTGAAGAAGGATGGCAGTGTAAGAGTGTGTGGTGACTTCAAAGTGACCATCCATTCACAGCTGGAGGTAGACGAGTACCCACTTCCCCGCATTGATGATATTTACGCCAGCCTAGGTGGGGGAACGTTGTTCAGCATCATTGACCTGTGTCAGGCTTACTTACAAATGGAGGTTGAGGAGCACTCCAGGCCTTTCCTCACCATTAACACAACCCGTGGTTTGTTCCAGTACCAGCGCCTTCCTTATGGTGTAGCTTCGGCGCCAGCCATCTGGCAGCAAGCCATGGATCAGATCCTGCAAGGGCTACCAGGGGTCTTCTGTTACCTGGATGATATCATTATAACCGGCCATACCATAGAGGAACACCTTGAGCGGTTAGTCGCAGTACTGAAGAGGCTGGAAGAGTATGGTTTGAAAGCGAACCGAGAAAAGTGTAAATTCCTTAGAAGCTTTGTGGAGTGCCTAGGACATGTCATCTCTGCAGAAGGACTGCATCAATCCCCAAAGAAAGTAAAGGCTATCACTGAGATGCCGAAACCTCAGGATGTTACTCAATTGCGTGCTTTTCTTGGCATGGTCCAGTATTACGCCAAATTCTTGCCTTATCTGGCCACTCATCTTGCTCCACTTCATCGGCTGTTACAGAAAGATGTGAAGTGGCTGTGGAGAGCTGCGGAACAAGCTAGTTTTCTTGTGGTGAAAGAAATGTTGCTACAGGATAGGGTTCTGATGCGCTATGACCCTGACTCACCACTAGTTCTTGCCAGACAGCTCCTCGTATGGTTTGGGAGGGGTCTTGTCACACCGTACCGCTGAGGGAGTAGAGCGTCTTATTGCTTATGCGTCCCGGTCCCTGTCAGAAACAGAGAAGAAGTTCTCACAAATCGAGAAAGAAGCATTATCTTTGGTCTGGGGTGTGAAGAAGTTCCAAATGTACCTGGAGGGTAGCCACTTCACCTCGGTCACCGACCATCAGCCTTTGAAATACATAATGGACCCCGGGAAGGCTGTGCCAGTCACGGCAGCAGCAAGGATTCTACGTTGGTGCCTCTTCCCAGGAGCTTTTTCATACAATATCGAGTTCTGAGGTATTGTACCAAGCAACATGCCAATTGTGATGGTTTATCTCGCCTACCCCAACCATCACCACCCGCTGACAAGCCCGATGAAGTTGAAATATTCCATACCACCGTTGTCGAGGCCCTCCCCGTTACAGAGCACGACTTGAGAATGTAGACCCGTAGGGATCCAGTACTTTTCCGTGTTCTGGAGCTTGTGCAGTCAGGATGGCAAGGAACCGAACTTCACCCAGAGCTCATTCCCTATGCCCATCGCGGTAACGAAATCATGATTCATCATGGAGTTTTAATGTGGGGTAGTAGAGTAGTCGTCCCAGCCAAACTGAGAGAGAGAGTTTTGGAAACGCTTCACGAGGGTCACATTGGTATGGTCAAGACGAAGGGTTTGTCCCGGGGTTTTGTTTGGTGGCCAAACATTGACAAGGACATAGAAGGGGCCGTCCGAAACTGTGAGGGATGTCAGGAGTTGCCAAATAATCCAGCCCGTGCACCCCTGCATCGATGGGAGTACCTTCCCTTCCCTGGCAAAGACTGCACATTGACTTTGCCGGATCAGTCGAGGGAAAGATGCTCATGGTAGTGATCGATGCCCACAGCAAGTGGCCGGAGATTTTCGTGATGGAGATCACCACTGCTGAAGAAACCGTTAGCATGCTGCGTTCTCTGTTTGTCCGCATGGGACTCCCTGACCATATGGTGTCAGACAATGGTCCACAGTTCACGTCTGAAACCTTTAGGAAATTTACAACTGCGAACGGTCTAAAGCATGTCACTGGTGCACCTTACCATCCATCAACCCATGGTCAGGCGGAAAGATTAGTACAGAGTTTCAAGAAAGGAGTTAAGGCTGACAAGTCCAGTAGAACCCTGCAACACAAGCTTGATAGGTTCCTGTTAGCTTATCGATCAGCGCCACACGCCACTACTGAGCTTAGCCCTGCACAGCTTCTCCTGGGTCGGAATGTTAAGACAAGGTTGGACCTGATTAAGCCAGATGTTACAAGGAAAGTCAACAAGAAGTTGCTCCATGCCGGTCATTTGGTTAAACCACCTCCTAAGTTGAAGGACTATGTTTGCGGCTAGAGGGAACTGTGCTGTTTCTTTTCTGTGGTCACAGTACCAACATGTTATCTAAGATACTATGAAATTTGTTTCTTGGATTTTGTTTTATTCTTTCTTTTCATTAGTGTATTATTGAGTCTTAAAAGGGAGGAAATTGTTAGATTTTTCCTAATTTTGGTTTCCCTGTTCTACGTAGAAGCTAGTGTCACGAGACCTGTTTTCCATATTTGGTATTGTACACGAGGTTTTCTGCTTTTGGATTAAAAACAGTTCTTTCCGCCATCTTGATCTGGTTACTGTGTTCCTAGCCTTTTATTCGGAATACACAATAAGCCATAAGCCATAAGCCTGGTGGCTTCTTGGGTCTCCTCACCTTCTAACTGTTATCACTGTAATTAAATATTTTTTATTGTTAAAATAAGGCAAATAAAGAAGATGATGATAAAGTGTCTGCAAAAGAATGCCATTGATCACAGCAACTGTAGATAAAGTTTGCCATGGATATATGTTCTTAAGCCAGATGGAAGCTATCAGATGTGTACAAATCACAAAAAAGTGACCAAGACAGACACCTTACCTATTCCAAGAATGAATGACTACAACTACAAGAATGAATGACTACAACTACAAAATTGGAAAAGCCACGAATGTAACATAATTCAACCTTCCTAAAGGATTCCAGCAACTACTGTTGACAGACAGCTCCGAGGAAGTTTCAACCTTTGCAACACCTTAAGGATTGTACAAACAGGATATAATATCAATACAAATATGGCCACTTTTATGGAACCAATGATGCAATTACTCAGCGAGAAGATAAAATTTATCGGAGTGACAGATGTGAGAGGGCATTTGAGGAATTGATAGTCGTGTTACATAATGCCCTTTCCTTGACTACACCTGAATTCAGTTCACTGTTGAAATTCAAGTGATCGATGTCACTCCTGGTGCCCTGCTATTACAAGAGGATGATGAAGGTGTGGAACATCCAGTTGGTTATTTTTCCAAAAGGTTCAACAAAAGTCAAAAGAATTATCCTACCATCGAAAAAGAATGTTTGGCTCCAGTATTACCACTAGAACATTTCCAAGTTGATGTTAGTTCATCAAGGTTGCCTATTGTTGTTTATAGTGATCACAATCCCCTTGCTTTCAGTTGTAAGTTGAAGGACAAACACCAGCAATTGCTGAGGTGGAGGTTAAAGTTACAAGGGTATATTTTAGACACCACACAGTAAAAAGGAAAGGAGAAAGTAATGTTACTGCAGACTGCCTCTCAAGAGAATTAGTTTTTTGCAAGAAAGTTTACAAATTCAATTACCCTCACCAGCTAAATGTTTTAGGTGCATATTGTTTTAAGGACACATCGTTTCTTACATGTGCTTCATTTATCAAAAAAGCATGCAAAGGAGTGGAATGGCCATCTCTCTAAGAAACGAGAACTTTCCCACCATTAGCTACGTTCCATTAAATTGTACATATGCATTATTGCTAAGCATGAGGACAAAATGGCTGGATATTGACTAAGCTTTTTTAGCATTTTTATGGCTGGCTTGGGTAGCCAGTCATAACACAGGATTGGCTTCCTATTGTCTATGGTGCTGCCAGCTATATAGTAAACAAAAAAATTGATATGAAGAAAGATATTCATCCTACTCCTTTATCTCAAACTTTGAAGAGTGGTAACTCTCAGACATTTTTAAGACCACATTCATATTGCAACCAGCATGCAAATAGCTCCTTTCTGTAGTCAATTAAACAGAGGAACAGGCATCCAGGTAGTAATGCTGACATACAAAATCATTTTAAATTTTAGAGCACACTGCAAATACTTACTGAAATACATTGTACAAGAACGGTTTTACTTCATTCCATTCCTCATACATACTCTATAAATTATATAAATTTATATAAATATATAAAAATATTTATACATCCCTACAGACCTGTTGTGTTTTTTTCCGACTACCACACATTATACCCGCTCTATTATTTGTATCGAGCACTGTTTCATGGACACCAAGTTTAATCCCTCTAAAAATATTTGTTTATATTTCCCATAAATATTGTTTATTTGATTTGTTTAGTTTTTATTCATTTCACTAATACAGTAAAATGCTCTACGTATATTTATAATTTATGTATTTATGTATGTCTATTTATAAATATTTTTGTATTTGTTGTACGTATATTTATATATTGTATGTATATCTACTACTTTATCAGTTAATAAAGTAAAAGTAGAAGCATTTGTAATATTAAATATCATTGATGCTTTGTGTTGAATACTATTTCGGAACAAAATTCTCCATAGTAAACCATTTCATCTTGTAACATCTAAACCCTATTTTTACAGAACTTTAAGTGAATCTTCAAATTTTTTGATACAAAAGATGGTACTGTTCCTCACCAGAAATATATTTAAAGTTAAAATAGAATTTGAATTAGAAAGTATTTTAACAAAGATTTGTTGTGATTTGAGAGTTCCTCCACGTTTCTGGAGGAAGTTCCTGCCAATAAAATTAAGTGATTAAGCCAAAGGAACCCTCCCAAACAACAAATGCAAAAGAGTGAAAGAATTATGTAGTTACCAACTAAAGATGGTATGCAAAGGAAAATGGCCATGATGAAGAAAGCACGATACAAAAGAGCCAAATACAACTCAAAAGTAAAAACAATCATCCACTCCTAAATTAAACACACCAGTGCTGTAGTGTTTGTAAGGTACACTTCGTGTGCCATACATGACGTAGGTAAGCAGGTAATGTAAGAGAGGATTGAATCATTAAAGCAGCATGGCAGATGTATAGATTAGATTCGTGTGTATCCATTTCCATCGACTTTAGAACGTGACAAGTGCTGAAAGACATACTCCAGAGAGTTTACAGAATTACCAACTAACTCTAGTGCAACTACCAAATCAATGTTAGGACCAAATCAAGGCCAAAGCATACTTCTTACCCACTGCACAGTCAACTGTTTCACAATTCCAGCAAGATTCACCTACTAATACCCACTAGAGAGGCAATTGTATCATGATGGCCTCAAGAGTCAAAATAAGGACCCAAGTTATTCTCAATGTTTGGTCAACAATCTTGCTGTAACAATAATGAGTGGGGGGCTTTATTTATTTGCTGACGATACAATAATCTACTTTATCAGCAAGAATATTGATGATATCTTTCATACACTACAATCTATATTGGATCAGGTTCACAAAAATTACCTTCAACCAGACCTTCACTGGCCCTTTGCCCTGTCTACAATACATTGATGGTACCATATAATATGAAGCTTCAAGTAAATGCCTTGGATTAAACAGCTATTACTAGCATTCATGGTAAGAACATACTGAGAATGTTTATGACTCCTTCAGTAGGGAAGTCAAAGAAGCAGATCAAGCTCTTGCCAAAGTCAGTTCAGCAAACCAATTATTACAGGTCAATTTTACCACGTGTTTTGAACAGTATTGTAATTGGGGCTCATTTTCTCAATCTTTGTTGAATGATGGCCTCCCCAGAGAAGGCCATTGTTCTGATGTCAGAAGTATGTCAATCTCTGGAACTCAATCCTTTTGTTTCATACTAAGAGGCTATTTCATTTAGTTGTTAGTATTAATATTTACAATGAAACCACCACCTATCCTTTGAGAGACTTGATAGCTAACTTGAGACTACATGTAATTTTAGAAATGTTGAGGTTCCCAGACCAAGAACTGACATCAGCAGATCATCTTATAAGCACAGAGATGCCCTTTCTTGGAACCTTCTCCCTAATTCCTTACAACTCTACCAGTCAAAGTTGTTTTTAAAGGGTTAATCTGGGAAAACCATAAGTTCTGAGAAAGCTTCCTGAAGCATTACTTCTATGTCAAAGGATTTTAAATATTTTGAGATATACATGTAATATGGCCATAAAGATCAATCTTCTTGTTTTATTTATGTAAGACATTTTATATTATATTAGTAAATAATTCATGTATTTGGTTTAGATTTAGTTATTGCAGGGCCACACCAGGACTTGTCTTACATATTCTGTAGCCTGCTTAAATAAACTATGTATAAGTGTATGTTTGTGTTTGCATATGATGTGATAGAATGACTGAGCGAATACCATTATTTGCTTCAGCCAAAAACAAAATAAAAAACTCATCCTTCAAAATATACCAGACCTTAAAGTCTTCCTAGAAAGGATGAAGTCTCTTAGGGCGCAATTCATTTTTTAAATTCATTGCTCAGCCAACACTTTTAATACCTATACCAATACTGGTGCACTGTAAATTTATTTTGGGCCCAACAAATGCTGTTGGTCAAGCACTTTGAGAAAAAAAGATCAAACTAACCTAAGAAGTTATATTGTAATGCTTTATTTTGATATACTACAGTGGCAAAAACCAAAATAACTCCTACCGATAGACGGTTAACTAATTGCAAATGACTAATAATAATTTTTTTTGTCATAGGACTATATGAACATTTACAGCTTTATGAGGAAATGGAACTCTGATCACAATCTGGTGGCTGCAAGTGACACTGACAGTCCTCAAATGTTTTTTATCATGTAAAACACGATTGTGATTGAGACACACAACAAGTTGAATGGTTCAATTTCCTTTTTTGCAGTATTATCAGTGTTTAAATTGGAATATTCTTAAAACTTAAATCTTGTTTTAAGTCATTTAAGGAATATATGTTTGATATTAAGTAAAAAAAAAGCACACCTTTGCTTACAGCAATGGCATTGAAAACAGCTTTGTTGAATCAAAGTTTAGTACCTTAATTCTGCAAGCTTTTTTTTGCGAGGTGGGATCTTGTGTCCGATTTGTTGCCTTTTCCAGTATCTCTTGTGAATCAAACTCCAAGGTTTGCTCTTTTCACATACCACTCAAAGCACCTGATGTTCAAGTGCAGCACTAGTCTGTTTCAGGCTGTGCGTGTTATGATTTTTTATTTAACTATATTTTTCTCCTCAAATAGCAAATTCATATTTATTCCTTTTTTTACTTATTTCGAACCAACATTT